TCAGTAGGATGTTTAAATATGTCTCTCCATCTATCTTGATGTCTGTCAGGTCATCTTTCTGTCAGTCTGCCTGTGTGTTTTTAACGGTTATATATAACATTATAATCATTGTCTGTCTTCCCCTATATACAGTATGTCTGTTAATCTTTTAAACTACAGTAACAGACATGATCACGCTGCTGAAATCTGGTGCAGGGGATAAAGTTATAATCCCTGCGTTTGACGAGTTTAAAGTCATGATGTTAACTTTAAAGGGCAAGAGGTCTATGTCACGGAACTGAGCGTGGGTAGGCATCGAGGGTGAGCTGACATGATTGTGCATGACCTGAAAATTGTTGTCCCGATAACTCATGTTGTTATCCATTACAGGGGATATAAATCATTATGAAAGCATCAGTGATTCACAAATACACGTCCAACAACATCCACAAAGATGAACCACCGAATTCAGTCTTCACGTGTATAAGGTTGTCAGTGGGATACCTCGAGAAATAACAGAGTTACAAACATCATAATTACTGTGTTCATCCTTCTTGGTAAAGTTCAAAGGTCAAGGTAATGGTTTTGAATATATTGTAATTGACACAAATAACATAATAAATATTTTTTTTTACACAAGCGACTGTAAAACTTAATGACGCATTGGATCAGACACTAAATATTATTGTAAGCGGATGTGTTGATTACAGTACTTTATTCGACTGTAGCTAAATGATAAGGTCATGTGACTAAATCCTTTGGATGTTTTGAATATCACTTCCAGTCGACAAAAGAACCAAAAGATAAAAAAAAAAAAAAAAAATATTAAGAGTCCGAGGAATTAAAAAAATAATAATTTATCATTTCGTTTTTTTTAATCAACCCATTTTCCCGTTCTTTTATTTATTTTATTGTGTATCTGTGTCCACACACTAGTCTCTATTTTCTCCTTCTGTCTCTCCTCACTTTCTCTAACTCTTTCTCTCTCTCTACACCTCTTTATGTCTCTCCCTCCCGCCTCCTCTTAACTCACTTTCTCTCTCTCTCCTCTTCACTGACTCTCTCTCTCTCTCTCTCTCTCTCTCTCTCTCTCTCTCTCTCTCTCCTCTTCTCTCTCTCTCCTCTTAACTCCTCTCTATCTCTCCTCTTCACTGACTCTCCCCTCTCTCCTCCTCTTAACTCACTCTCCCCTCTCTCTTCTCTTAACTCACTCTCTCGTCTCTCTTCTCTTAACTCTCTCCCCCTCTTAACACTCTTTCTCTCTCTCTCTCTCTCACTTTGTCCGACGGGCCGAGAGCACCACCTTCACTCCACATATCAACAATTCCTGATGATGGAACACCTTAATGCCGAAGGAAGAGGATAAGAATATTTTACACGAACAGGCACACATTTCCGCCCAGCTCAAAACTTTTGCCTTCAAGACTTGACATTTCTAAGTCTGAAGAGTAATGTGAACCTTACCATGGACAGCTGGAAACGAATAACTAATAATAATAATAATAATAATAATAATAATAATAATAATAATAATAATAATAATAATAATAATAACACTAATAATAATAATCAGTTACATTTTAATGTGCCTTTAAGAAATGCCAATGTTATTATTATTATTATTATTATTATTATTATTATTATTATTATTATATTAATTAGCAGATTAAGGTATACGAAGATGCAGAGTTTCGCCTCAAATGATAAATAATTCCCCCGACTTTTTCATGATCTGCAAAATCTTATCCATCATATTTTCTACGGCTTCCCCTTGAACAAATCCTTGTACCTTAGTTTTAAGAAATTTTATATTTGAGGGACTTGAACACACCTCGGTGAACTAAAAGAAGGATTTCAACAACTTTTACACTTTGACCGAGTGGAAAAGTTGTTGGCTGAGGCAACAGGTTATTGACCCTTAAATGTAATGCATTTAAGCTCTTTTTGCAACTTGACGCGTGGGATAATTACCACACTTTTCCTGCTCTACGCTTGAAGAAATCAAGAATATTTTCCCGTCTTCAAGTGAAAAAAAAATATCAATGTCTTCCAGCTTTACGCATAGAACACAATAACATCCCTTTCATAACAATAATATATTTTATTTGTCTATTTTATATTTTTCACAACTACAACTTACTTTCTGTGACGTCATGTATATAAAACATACACCTGAAACAATGTAATGTATGTCATCACTACAAGAATTATTTAGTAATTTCTCTTTAAATAAGGAAATCGGGTTTTTTTATTAGATAATTCATTGGGTAACAGGTAATATACAAGTACTGTCTAGAGACAACACACCTGATTCTGTTAACGTCATTTTTAGACAATCAATTTGTCAGCAATCTATATAAAGCAGTCAAGGAACCTTTACCATACAACATATATTTTGCGTTCTACATTTTCCAACAGATAAATTGATTCATTTTATTTTTCAACTCCTCTTTGGTTTCGTGTTATGCGCCTGACACAACTTCCCTCACGATACACCTTTGACAATTGAATAACTTCACATATAAAAGGTAGACAACAATCACTGCAATATTCACCGAGTCTTACTTTTACCTCAAGTGTTTCGATTTGTCACTGGCACGTTGTTATTGGCAAAATATACAAGGTTTCCCGATCAAACGTCACGCATTGAAAAAGTATCTATTCTTGTTCGTAAGTAAGTGTGTGTGTGTGTGTGTGTGTGTGTGTGTGTATAGATCGGACGCGCACAAACATTGGACATTGGATAGGTGGGTTACAGAGGCGTTCTTATTTTTTTTGTTGCTCTCCCCAGTTATTATTAATAAAAATAAACTCTTTTTTCATTCCAGCTTGATATTTTGTGAGTATAGTTAACTGGGTTTTATTCACATACCACCGAGATAATATTTGTATTACAGTGAACGCTACTGTACACACTACACCTCTAACACCTGCTCCAACATATAACGTCCAACATATAAATTGTGTAAACAAAAAATATTCATAAAAAATTATGGTATTTCGACTGGTAACCTTATATATTTCCGCCTGTATACACAAGTTCAGAAATAAAAGCAGACACACTCAATACCTATATCAATATGCACCAAATCCCTTTTTTCACTCACACACACACACACACACACACACACACACACTAACAACAATGGATGCTTCGTTTACGCGAATGGCCGGCTCTAGGGCCACCTAGGCGTGAATTTGTTTCAGGTGTAGAAGCTGTCGCCAACACAAACAACTACACCATAAGTTAACGAGTTGCATGACCCAGTGTCAAAGAATAGTCCGAGAACCCTGGACAACTTGCCAACTGCACTGGCTAACCATTACCCCGGAACACGATCCACAATTCGATTAACATCCAGGTCCCCAATTGCTGATGGCTAGACAGAGTAAATTAGCGTAAGGAAACTTGCCCATAGTTTCACCCTGCCCAGAGATCGAACCCGGGTCCGCTCTCTTGCGAGGCGAGCACACACACACACACACACACACACACACACACGCGCGCGCGCGCGCGCACGCACACACACACACACACACACACACACACACACACAACTTGGTATGATAAAAATATAACGCCATTAGAGAATAAGGAGATCACTAAGACATGAAGTGGTCATGATTTCTCTCAGGAAATGATCTTACCACAATATGTTTTTCTCAGTGATATCGATATTTTATAATCTTATTAACTCAACTATTTTTGCCGTATTCCTACTGCCGGCTGTCTATTTCCTCTTTTTATCTTTCCTTTCATCTTTCCACCAGTAAATGTGGTATTGAGAGAAGTTTAAAGAAAGACTAATTCTTTTCTGGGATAAGTTTCCTCTCTCTCTCTCTGGCTACACTATGTCGCTCCTCCCTTTGCGCTTTACACCAGATCTCTATATTATATGTAATTAATATCTCTTGTTTTTCTCTGATAATTTTTTCCCAAACTTAGTCCATTTATTAATAATTTTGGACTGCGGATGTGGATACAATATGTTTTGCAGTTAGAGAAACTTTTTAAAAAAAATAAAATGCCACGTTTCAAACTGAGACTCTACCCGGGGGATTATTCTCGTTCCAGCATAACTCTTAATTTTTGGCCAAAGTTCCCAACTCAAATTTTACTCTTATTGTAGACGCCTGGTATACTGTAGGTGTTCCATGGGTGATACACACTGAGAATATCGTGTATTGCAGTACTCGTGTCGGAAATTGCATCACCTATTCCCTAGAATAGAGTTTTTACTCGACTCCACCCAACTGAATTTGAACTGTGTGTGCACAAATTAGGAAATTGGAGTTATACATTAAAAATGCTCTGACTCAGATGTGAACTTGGTTTGTTGTGGTAGGTATTGGTTGTAGATGTTGATGGGAGAGATGGACACAGTACCCGTAATGTCATATTATTTTGAGGAGTCTATCTACTCGAAAACGGCCGAGTTAAAGACCCCTTGGTGTTGAGACAGATAATCCTGATTTGATGAATGACTACTCTCTCTCTCTCTCTCTCTCTCTCTCTCTCTCTCTCTCTCTCTCTCTCTTAGTATGACGTGATAGTATTTTCCTTTTCCTCTGAACTTGTTTTCTAATTAACGCCTCAACCACATTCAACTTCTACATCCTTTTCTCTTCATGGCAGTGATTTATGTGTGCTGTCAAACGTGTACATTGTTGCCAGTACATTGCTACTACAAATACTATACACTGCCACAAGTAGGCCTACACTGCCACACATACAATGTCATATGTACACTACAACTTGTAAATTGCAACCTTAATTACTCATTTACGTCTTGCGATCTTACGGCAGTTCCATCCACATTGTTACCAAATTCATTTACTCTCCACATGCTACGTCACAAGAACGTAATGTCATTGTAATAAACAATTTGCATGTTCAGTTCACATCGCACCCACGCACGTGCACTAACACCATGAAAATTTACCTTATATTCTCCTCCACAGCGCACTGACGCAGGCGCACTCCAGCAATGATATAATTCACCTACTTTTCTCCTTCACAGCACACCGGCGCATGCGCACTGTTACCAACTACTTCCTCATGAACCTGAGCGCAGCGGATCTCTTCATGTCTGTCCTCAACTGCATGTTCAACTTTATCTACATGTTGCACAGGTGAGTAGACAGGTATTCAACTCTGTTCACCTTTCAAAACTATTAACACGTTACACACGTGACCAAACAGGCGTCCATGTTGCAGTTAAGAAAGTATGTATTCAACTTACAAAGATATGTGGGTATGTGTTCAACTGTATCTATACAACAAGTGGGTATACAGCTGTGTTTTTTGCAATAATATAACCAAGAACGGGTATATTTTGTTCTTGATTACAGTTTATTACTATAACAGATATGTCTATCTTAGTACAGTACATTCACCTGTTGGGTTTAAGCTTTCGCTACTTTTAATGTTTTTTCTTTGTATGATTAAAATGAAGCAAATGTTAATAATTAACAGCTCAACGGTTTGTTTGTTCAAGGTTTATATTTTTCTTTCAATGTACTTAGTGATTTATTTATCTCTCTATTGTCATGTTGACTGTGAGTATTTTTTCGATACCATCGTATTTATGTTCTAGGTCTGATGATGCAAAGAGATTTGTCGAAATGTTACCAAATAAATGTATAAATGTTGTTGTTTATCTATACGTTGGTACTGTTATTCCTCCTTCGTGTGTATATATATATATATATATATATATATATATATATATATATATATATATATATATATATATATATATATATATATATATATATATATTCAAAGGCTTATTCTCTTATTTCTAGTCACAAATATAAAATTTTTCTCGTCCCCTAAAAACAGAAATATGATTTAATAATTACAAGCACGATACAAAGCACTAGTGTCAGGAATTAATAGATCACCAAAGCAATAGTACTGAAAATTCAATTAGTTTTAATCCTTTGATTTTCATATTGGAAAAAATATATATTTAATGACCAAATACACTTTTCTGGTGCTTGATTTTTCTCTTTTTATCGGCAAGAGGATTCTTGGTCAGACAACCACAAAGAACAAAAATTTATCTTCCGCCAACACATAATTTTGGGGTCAATACTGTATGGAAAACTAAATTTATCTCGGTTAAAGTTCGAGGACATTGCTTCTCGTCAACAAACCTTCCAAGACAGAAAGCAAATGTTGAGCACCTCAAAGGACCATAATGGTATCTTTGAGTCGACATTCCAGTTGGCTGCGATTGAAAGACATCACTCAGAATAGGAAGGCTGTCTCGACTATTTCCCAGCACCGCCACTGTTGCAAGACACATAAAATAGAAATCCCAATTCCCTGACAACTAAATCAAACTCGAGTTTTAATAAAAGTTGCATGATTTTTTTGTGGGGTGATGGGGGGAGAAGATGGAGATGAGACAACACTCGAAAACGTCAATAGTTATTCCTTGTATTTTTATTCACCCTTTTATCTTATATTCACCATAGTCTTGTTCAGCTGCATTGTGAGTATTCTATTTCGTATGATATTTTTGCCATGATTATTTGTCAATTAATAAAAGGTTAAAGCATTTAGTTATTATTATTATTATTATTATTATTATTATTATTATTATTATTATTATTATTATTATTATTATTATTATTATTATTATTATTATTGCAGTATTGCACAACTATGTCAAGGTATATCTACTGACGTTTGTATGCCAGTGGAAACTATCTCGTAATTGTCCCAACAACTCCTAAACGTAGAACTATTGGACTCAACAGCGGCGTACTGATTGAGCTGGACCGGTCAGTATTTCCTGTATTTCATATAATATTTTTTTTTAAGATTTATTAAAATTGAAAGTAAATGTTGCAAAAATTAAATTATGGTGGAAGACGGCGTCTGACGGCTTTTGTGATAATCGAGTTTTACTTTTGCTAGAATCCCAACAAGATTAGCAAAAATGTTGTTATATTTCAATCTCGGTTGGAGGACGACATCTAAAGATCAAAATAAGATAATTAAAGTTGTGTTTTATGTTATATATTTTGTATTTAATGTAGATATAACTTTTTTTAAATGCTTTCAAGACTTAAATGAATCTTGAAATTCCACACAAATTTTGGCAATTACATTTATAGTAATGAGTTTGTATTGTTGTAAATAAACAGTTAACGCCAGAATAATTTATCCTCTCATGAAATAAAAAATATTGAAATTAAAAGTTCGATAAAGGCAAATGAATCATTGGTGGAGGCTGGTCGTCGTCTCTTAAATGAAAAGATTATTGAATATAACTTTTGATTTAGTTTATACTTAAATGTATCGAGAGGCTTCTTATTTTTGAAGCCACATCGCGGTAATTCCAGAGGCCATAGTATTAAACTACTCACGATAGACCCACAACCGAGAAGCTTTAAATCCCCTTGCACACACTAAACTGAAACATAATTGCCAAGGTGTAGAACAGGATTACTGAACAGGTGGTTACGTCTGCGTCGTGTGGACCTTCGACAAAGGACTTGATAAATACGAGGCAGGTCAGTGACAATTGCAACTGTACAAACCTTATTTTTTATTGACTTTTTTCGAAAACGGCAATTTTTTTATAGAAGTGGAAATCAACGCGTTTTACAAATTTAATATAACCAGAATCACAGCAACAACAAATTACCATTGGAAAATTAGATATGCATTATTAGAATTGAAAAATTAATTTAATCATTCCGAATCATTACGACAAGTAATTAGCATAATTACAACTTTGGACCCTAAATTCTTAAGAGGAGCTCTAGCCAGGGACGTCGATAGCGCTCCTCTCTCTCCCACTACCTCCTTGACAAACACTTTATTGTGGTACGGTGACAATAGAATAGTTTAACATTATTGCCTCTCCTCTCACCTCTGACAATATCACACACACACACACACACACAAAGATTTAATCTGTAATAAACAATAACTTAAGAGTGTTAGGCTGTAGTGATCTTCTGATTCGATACTTTCCGGTCGAGGAAAAGACTGAAACGTTAAGTTTCGCTTTACCAACTGAAGTGATTCTCTACTTTACCAACATAGTTTGTTCTTCACGCACTTCTACCACAGAAGACATACACAACAATGAATATACGTTCATTATAACAGTAGTAATGATAAAAGATCATTATTTCACTTGTTGGTTAGTATTGTTACCTTATGACAGGTTTCTTGGGGTTATAAAGATGACTTTCCTTTATGAAACATCGAAAAAATAATTTCAAATAAAGATTGGAAATAAATGCTCGTTGGAATTTTTAACTGATGGTACGCGCGAGAAACGAAAATTGTCTCAACTCTAGTGGTGGAATATATGATGATGATGGTGGTGATTGTAGTGTTTATGGTGGCAATGGTGATGGTGGTGGTATTGGCTTAGGTGATAATGCTGGTGGCTGTGGTGGTGATGTCTTTGGTGGTGGTACTGCTGGCTGTGTTAGCTTTGGTGGTGGTACTGCTGGCTGTGTTAGCGTTTGGTAGTGGTGGTGGTGGCTGTGGTGATAATGGCTTTGGTGGTGGCTGTGGTGTTAATGGCTTTGGTGGTGCTATGTGGCAAAGCAGCAAATATTTATAAATAATTATATAGTTAAAATTAAAAACAAACATCCAATTATCTATTCAAATGTACTGACATAAGATTATTCAGATTAAGAGAAGAGAACATGAGAGGTAATAGACCTGAGGCATTTGAATACTAATATTAAAATGCTTTCTATCTTGTGTTATATTTACTAATACTTCAGGGCATTATGAATATGTATATGCCATAATGTAACATGCTTAAGATATAAACAACAGTGATTATGGCTTAAAGGAATATTACGTAAGAACATCAAGGTAACGAGCATGAAGTTGTGTGTACAGAGTTGTCCCTTTAGTTTTCATTGCATCGAACTAAATAGAGAACAAGAAAAACTCACAAATATATGCTCATATAATTTACCATCCGTTCTGTTCATTGACAAGGATGATCAGTACTGTTTTGTTATGAATTACATCGAATAAACCTACGACTTGTTATCTTAAACTACGCTAGCCTTTAGTTATTATTTTATTTTCTATATAAATAACACATTTTCATGATATATTAATCGTCTCATGAATATTTAAACTTCTCACTGAGCCATTAGCTTGTACTCCTTTGTTGATTACCTTACTTATACATTATAGATCAAATTAGCTCTCAGTCACACAAACTTACTTTCAGGATATCAGTTTCAACAGGTAATTTCATTTTGTCCAGCTTCAAAACAAGTATGAAATAAGCTCAAAGAATGATACACTATAATCCAGTTAAACACACATTTACTCATTAAAAAATTTGAAAGGTCAATTTTCAGTGGCTGGCCTCAATAATGTGAATTAAACTTGAACATATTTTATGGATGTAAATTGGATGTGATTTACTCTGGCTTCCATACCAGGTAAGCTGCCTCGTCCTACACAATGCTTACATAGAAACCCCAATAAAGTTATAAAATTAAAATCCGGTGTAATAAAAAGACTAAATGGCCTCTGTAGGAATATCAAACATTACTTTACTGACGCTCACTCAAATGATCAGACTCGCCATTTTGATGTCATCTGATATAATTGAATATTGTTTCTAACTTCATAATGATCGTATATACTCAAATTTTAAGCTCATGACTCCACCTACGAAAGAGAAGGAAAGAGAGTGCGAGTGAGATAAATTGGTTACAAAAACTAAGCCATTTTTTGCATACCTGAAAAGTAGGTATCCTTGATATTAATTTTAGGAGCTACTCTCTCTCTCTCTCTCTCTCTCTCTCTCATACACTAATTATCTTTCTAAGTGTTTATGTCCCTCATCACTGGAGCCTCAGTGAGCCAGTATGACAGTAGTGTGCCATTGGATAATGTCATTGTACACTCTCAAGCTGAGAGATACTGCCCGGTGTAGTGAGAGAGTGAGAGAGAAAAGTGTTAGTAATAAAGAGAAAGAGAAAATGTAGCAGGGTGAAATAAAGAGATAAAAACTGTCAGAGAAAGAGACAGACAGACAGATAAAAAGAAAGAGAGAGGGGAAGAGAAAGTGTGTTAAAAACAAAGATAAAAGACAGAGAAAAGTGTATCCGAAAGAGAG